CAACTGAAGAAGTGATCAATAATTAGTCATTGTATATTTATGCCTTTTACATGTCCCAAACTGGGCTACGTGTTCTCTAAGCACTATCCTGACAACCATTTTACAAGGTAGATCTCTGTCTCCCCATTTTAGAGATGAGGAAACTGAGGCTCAAGTTGTCCAAGATCATCTAACTAGGAAGTAGTAGGGCCAGGTATGGAACTCAAGTTTTTCTGGCCATATGCCCAAATTTTACTTTATACAGGAGAGAGGAAAACATGTAAAATGTCTACATCAAGAAATGACAGCACTAGGGATTACAAACAGGTGTGTTCACCAAGCAAATCACTGTGTACTGCTCATCTCATATCTTGAGGCCAGGCTCTGGAGATATCAGGAGAGTCAGGATGAGCCTCTAGCACTGGTCTCTGAGCCCTGAGGACTAGAGTCAGACAAGAAAACACAGGCATGCAGGAAAGGGAGGCAAGTCACTCAAAAGTAACCAGCCTAGGAAGGTTCCTTATGGAAGGCCAAGTCTTGAGTAACAGTGAAAATTGGGCTGAGGAAGGTGACTTACTAGCCTGCTGCCCAGAGAGTGCAAGAGAGGTAAAGGGTATATTTCGGTCCAAGAACCACAGGCGTTTCAGGATGGCAGCAGGTCAGAGTACACTTTCTGATGCATTGCTGAGGACTTTTTGGCATTTGTGCTTCAGTTGGAAAAATGACTCTGTTATACCACTAGAAGACACCTGCTACTTACCCAAAGATGATTTAGAACAAGCCACCATAAAAATTCCACACTACCTTTGCCCCTGCAGGAAGTTATGCAGTGTGCAATCTGGAATATTCAAGGATGGTTTTTGAATCTGTGGGAGAGAGAACGAGGTGACTGCTCTAAGCAAGAACACTGGTCTCCATGGTGAAAGCAAGGTCCATTTCCCTCACCTCACCTGCATGCCCTTTTAAACAGCCTTAGACACTCATACTGTGCTCTTCTGTGGGTGGGACCACAAGGGCTCCTGGGTAACTCAGAGATACAAACAGCTCAGCTTCCTTGTGGTCCCTAGACCGGCTTTCAAAACCACTGGGAAGACTGTCTGACAAACAGGGGGCACTGGGTATAGTGACCTTTTTATTGTCATCCCAGTGCCACCCCCTCTAGCTGGAGGTCTTGGCAAGTCATTTACCCTGTCATAGAATTTGTTTCTTCATCTATGAAATGGGCTAACACTGGCTCTGCATGTGTTGTAAGAGTTAGAGATTGCCCACGTAACAGGATTAGCAACAGTGCCTGTTACATACTAAAGAGGGACTCCATACACTGAAATTACTACAATTACACCACACTGTTGTTATTCCGCTCCATCCTCCTCCTAACCTATTACTACATGCTGTTTTTGTAAACCTTATCTCTGCACTCCCATCTCCTTTGCCTGTGTCTCTATCACAGTCAGTACTATACTTTGGACAAATTCTCTCTGCTGCTACTCTCTTAAAATTTTCACCTAAAAATCTTCCCTCTCCAACTAAAACAGAAGCTCCTCAAAGAAAGGTAGGGGTGGGAGGGGTGGGGGGTGGCCTTCTGCTACTGGCACAGAAACTTCCAGAGCACTGAGTCAGGCTCTCAGCACACAAGATGGGCACTACAACAATTGATAGTCTATACTTGAGTATTGTTCCAAATGACCTCTATGCCTAGATGTTGGGAACTTAAAAAGGACTGTGTACCAAGTCCTTGAGGTCTTGGGACCACTGACATTTTGCCAAATTGAGCACAAACACTGAGGTATTGTCTAGATTGCATTGTGTTCTTTCCCTTGGATAAGACATGTCTTTCTCTGCCTCCAGAAACTCTTTGGGTCCACAATACCTTACCAGCTTTACTCACAGAACATGCGCATGTGATCTGGTCTCTTTATGGAATCCAAGAAGTATTTATCTTTTTTGAATAGCCAAAATATGTAAAGGTGAAGGGAAGGAGTTACAATTGCCTGGCCACTGTATGATTTCTGAAACTGGAAATATATCTACACTGAAAGTACAGTGATTCTGTAGTTGTGAGGGATTAACTGCTCGAGTCGAAAGCAAGAAGCAAGAAGCACAAAGGCAGAACAAGCTGTGCACCACAGACACAACATCTTACACCAGCCTGAAGCTGGGAGCACATGCTTCCAGACAGTTGTCTGGAGGGTGCATTAAACTCTGTGAGAAAGCTTGACTCCAGACTCCCAATGTTTTTCTACACATGAATACAGAACTGTATGAAAGAAGAATCTATTTTTTTGTTCAATCTTCACATGCCTTCCTGATTTTGTGTGTGTGTGTGTGTGTGTGTGTGATGGGAATAACAATGGTATGAACCTTAAAAATGGCAAAGTCAGAGGCAGGGTGCATTATACATAAAACATACAGCTTTGTTATTTCAAGCATTCTTCAGAGATCATATGATTTGGAAACATAAAATACAAGTGCATTGTAATAAGGAAAGTCAGTCCTGTAAATACTAACTAAAGTGTCATAATAAATGCCTCTGTTGTAATCAAATATTACACGTCTTGGGGAAAAAAAAAAAAAAAAAGCACTAGCAAATAGAGCTCTTTGCAGCCCCCCAGTGGTTGGAGGGGGAAAGAAGCGAGAACAACGGGAATTCAGACAGTTAACTTTCAATCTGCAGGGCCAATAAATGTTTTACCCTGGAAAGACAAACGTGTAGTTGTTTGTTTGTTTGTTTGTTTTTGAGACGGAGTATCACTCTTGTTGCCCAGGCTGGAGTGTAATGGCACGATCTCGGCTCACTGAAACCTCTGCCTCCCAGGTTCAAGTGATTCTCCTGCCTCAGCTTCCTGAGTAGCTGGGATTACAGGTGTGTGCCACTACACCCAGCTAATTTTTTTTTTTTCTTTTAGTAGAGATGGGGTTTCTCCATGTTGGTCAGGCTGATCTCGAACTCCTAACCTCAGGTGATCTGCCCGCCTCGGCCTCCCAAAGTGCTGGGATTACAGGCATGAGCCACCATGCCCGACCTGATAAATGCCTAGTTTTAACCAAGACATGAATATGTTCTAAGTCGGATGTTGGTTAAAATGCACATAATTATCCACATAAGGTGAATCATTGAAAGTCTGGGGTTTTTTGTTTTTTTTTTTTTTTCTTTTTTATCTCTCTCCTTCTCTTTCTCGCTTACCTCTATGAAGTTTCCCAGTCTGACCTGCGAACTCAGCCGCGCATTATTACTACTTACACCAGATCCCCTTCCCAAATGATTTCTTCCCTGTTCTGCACTTGCTGTGTGCTCTTCACCCTCCTTCAAACTTCCGTTTGCAGACATCTGCTTATATCAGTTACTGTGCTACAAAGTGATGGGAAATCTCCTCCCCCCAGCCCCCAAAAAAGTAATTTGCCTGTTTAACAAAGTGTCTATATTGGGAAAGGAGGGGGAGATGTTTGGAAGTTCATTGTTTCTTTATTCTTGTCTTCACCAAAACAACAGTCTCTCAGCTTGATCCCTTCATATCAGCCACTTCTTTACCGCACTCTGAGATATTTTCATAACGAGTTTTTCTCTCATGAAATTTCTCATTTCTAAAAATAGAAACTGCCTGTCAAGGATATACAAAAAAAAAAAATGCTGAAAAGAAATAGAATGGCTGCTTATAAAATATTTTCAAAAGATGACACCAAAAGATTTTAAAATTACCGATAAACATAATCTCCCATGTTCTTCTCAAATGTATCACACCTAAGTTATTGGAGGGCCAGTTCCTAAGGCCAGACAAGGCGAACTGCCTGCCTCCAGCTTTCCCCAACCTCCAAGAGTATTGCAGCCTGATAGGCATTCCCTCCCGTAAGCTGGTGGTCAACTGTAGTTCAAAGCCAGCGTCCGAATCAGGCTGTCTCTAACAGGGAATCTACTTTCTGACAGGCGCAAACCCCTCCGCCCTCTGATGATTGCCAGGCAGGATTTGGGGACGAAGTACCCCCTCATTGTCACCTGGCGGATTTGGCCACAGCCCACAAACCAAACGCACGCCCTACTTACGAACAGCGCAGAGAATCAACAAGTTATCACTAAGCTGCGAGCCCCAGCTAGGATCTGCCACAGCCTTTCCTGAGCCCACCACTGTTCCCCATCAGCTCTGCTCTTTCCTCCCCTCCCCACCCCCTGCAAGCACGTGACCTCCTGTTTCAGACACGGCCCCCACCCCAGGGCTCCCGGCGCTCCCAGGCAGCTGTCGAAGTCCGGGGTTCGCCGGCTTCCAGGCTCGCCTGACCGAGTCGGGCGTTCGCTTGGATCTAGCTTCCTTCCGGGCGGGAGGTCAAGCTCTTCAAAGGAACAGGGTGGGCAGGGGAGTGGTGCCAGGTTAGGCTCCTCGGTCCTCGGGAGCCAGAGCGAAGTAGGAGAGGTAGCGGGGAGCCTGACATCCCGCGCTTCTTCCGGACCCCGCCGCCGACCCGGAGGGCACGCTTTCCCCGGGGAGCCAGAACCGCCCTGGGGGAGCCTGAGGAGTGTCAGCGGGGCCTTCCTTGGAGCCTACAAGTTTCCACTCCATTCCCGAGCTGGGAGTTGGCAGACAAGTCACAGATCGGCTCCCTACTTGAAAGCACCGCCGCTGATCCTTCCCTCCCCCCCACCCCCCACCTCGCCAGGCAGGAGCAGACACCTGCTTGTCCCCGCGGCGCGCCAGCGCCCTGCTCGAGCCGTCCCTGGACCAGAGCTCGAAACTCACCCACTGCGCTCCCATCCCGGCACAGACAGCCCTCAAAGTTGTCCGTACTCCCCAGACCTCGCCTTCTGCTTGGCCCCCGGACCCCGCCCAGGGGTTGGGCCGGCGTCCGCGGGTGGACCTCTCTGGTCCGCGGCGCATGGACCTGACTTCGGGGATCCAGGGCGCACAGAGGCCACAGAAGCTGCGGCAAGGGAGGGTGGGCAAATCCAGCGTGAGCCCGGGTCCTTGCCGCTTTCACCCTCAAGCCTGCCCTGCCTCCCTCCTGGGAGAAGAGCAAACTTCCCCAGCACCCACCTTTAGCCGCGAAGAGGCGGCGCTGCCGGCTGTCCCCGCCACCGCCGCTGCCGCTCCCCACGCCCAGCGCCAGCAGGAGCGGCACCCAGTACAGCCGCCCAGACAGCATCTTCGCAGCCGCCGCCAACGAGCTGCAGCCGCCGCCTACTGTCCGCGCCGGCTCTCGCCTCCCGGTGCCTGCCGCGCCGTGAGCCGCCTCGCCGTGCCCGATGGGTGCGCTTCTAGCGCCGCCGCCGCCGCGCTCGGCCTCCGGTTCCCGCCGCCGCGCCGCTAGCTCGCCGGCAGCAGCCGCGCTCACTGGCGCGGACCCGGAGCGGCTCCGGCGCTCACCACGGGACGGCCCGTGACGTCACGGAGGGAGGGAGGTGGCTCGTGCATATTCATGAACGCGGGCACCGGCGCCGGGTTCGGCGCTCCCAGCCCCAAGGCCCCGACCCCCAACTTTCCTCAGCCATCTCCACGCTCCGGGGCGCTGTCCAGGCCCTCCTGCCCCAGTCGGGACCGGGCCCCCAGAGGACCCCGGTGGGCGGCTGCGGGGAGCCCTCCAGCCCGGAGCCTCCACTCCGGCTCTCCGAAAAGCTGCCGCAAGGAATGGAGGGCTCCCCCAGAAAGTGGTCACCCGAGGCCTGCGGGTCGTCTGGAGTGGTGCGGTGGACACTGTCCTGCCATGCCCTTTGAACTGATATCTGGGCGGAGAGGACTGGCTGGCGTCGCTAAGGGTCTTGCCCTTGGCTGGGTCTCTGGGCGCTCTACGTCGACTGGTCTGGGGAGGGCGCCAGGCGAACACTAGAGCAGCGCCTAGTGGTGCTAGGGGTTGTCGGGCAGAGTAAACAGCCTTGGACCTGGATGGCAATGGCCGGGCTCCGCGTCATCTGCGAGAAGCAGGGGCAGCCGCGGCTCTTAGAAGCTGGTAGAACAGCTAGATCAGAAAACTTGGGGTGCTGGGCCTGCTGAGGCTGCAGTGGCGGGGGGGTGGGGGGCAAACTTAAAATTCCCTGCGGTATGGTGCCATGCAAGAAGTTGCCACCTTTATGTTGTCACTCCACATCTCTGAGAACAGGCTACTTGACGTCATGCCTTGTAAAATCTCGTGCCATGTAGTATTGTCAGTTTCCTGAGTGCAGGAGCCAGTGCATATCTTTGCATCTTCAACCATCTCTAGGCCGTGAAAGGATTACAAAGGTACTCATAAACAAATAAACAAACAAACAAACAAATAAATAAATAAGGACTCAGAATAAATCCTTGACCATATTTACCTAAATGAAATGCCAACGTCAAACACAATGCAGAGTTTATAAGGAATAGTTTGGAAATAAAGTAGATATGGAAATATAGGAACAAACAACATTATTTATTTAGTCATTGATTCAAGACCTTTGCTGAGCATCTAGACAGGCTGTATCACCCTGACAGTGAGCACTGGATTAGCCGTTGGAGATCCAAAGACAGAGGAGAGAATGGGTCCTATCCTCAAAGCTTGTGTTCCCTGCTTGGGGGGCCAGAGAGGGCAGCAAAGGCAATTACAATCCCTTGTAAGTGTTATGGTCCTGCACATTCTTTATGTTGCTAGCTATGAGCCTATACAAATCAATTAACAAAATGTATATATTGCAAGAGTGCCTAAACAGCATCCTCTAATTAATAACTGTAGTTTGAGGTACTCAACAAAGCCATAAAGTCCATTAACAGCACTCCTGCAGCTAAGCCTCCCTGCGCTGCCCTGGCAGCTCACCCAGAGCCTCTGCAGTGGTGAAAGCCAACTGTTCAGCATTTCAGGCACCAGGGTGTGCTTGGGGACAGCAGTAAATCATGGTGGCTACACAGGGCTCAGACCCATGTGGGGCTCTTTACCTTCAGGGCTCCTTTAGCCCACAAATCAACATGTGTACTATTATTCTCATTTCACACATGATGAAATAGAGGCTCAGGGAAGTTAGGTAACTTCCTTGTTCAAGGTCAAAAATCTAGTAAATGCCCCAGGCCAACACCAGGACCTTGCCTTTCTCAGATGTTGGTTTCAGAATCTAGAAAAGATGGTATGGAAAGGTGGTGGCTGACCCAGGCAAACTCGACAAGCCAGAAAATGGAAGAGAAATGTAAATTTGTCTCATTTTCTTCCATTTATGCTCCACCCAACCACATATCTACCCTTCTCGCTTCATTTTCTCTAATAAGTAGACCTATCTTCCTGACTCACCTGCGCTGCTCGTTGGTGTCCTTATACTGGGCTTTTGTTAAGATCAGTTGGTTGGTCCTAATAATTTTACATGAAGTTTCAAATTCAGACCAAATAATGAGAAAGAGGGGGAAATGTAGCTTATTAAAAAGCATCTCCAAGGAGAGATCGCCAGGAAAGAACACAGCAAAGAAAAACACTAGCGGGTGGGCCAGTGACCAACAGGCACAAAATTGCTAGCCTCCATCTCCTCCTCTACCAATGAGGGTAATAACAATGCCTATTGTGGTAGATCCAATGCACTAATGGCCATTTGTCCATGCCTCTCTGAATCTGTTTCCTTTGGATGTGCCCTCCCACCCCAACTCTGAGCTAGGCCATATGATTTGCTTTGGTCAGTGGGACAGTGGCATGCATGTTGCCTCTTCCTGCCTTGAATCCCTGCTACTGACATGAGAACAAGCCTAAGCTAACCTGCAGAAGGGTAGGAGACTGCATGGAGTAGAACTGAGCTGTTTCAGCCAGCCAAGGTCACACTAGGCTGGTCAGCACCAACTGACCTACAGGCTGGCTAACCACAGACACATGAGCAAGCCCAGGTAAGTTCAACCAAGATCAGCCAAGCCTGGCTCACATCAGAACTATCCAGCTGACTTATGAGATACAGTAAGTGGTTGTTGCATTAATTCATTATGTTCTGGAACAATTGATTGAGCAGCATTATGCCTACTTAATAAGATCATTACAAGAAGTAAATTTTAAAAATATGTTAAACAGTATGGTGCACATAGTCAATGTTCAATAAATGTAAAAATATCTTCTTCTTATCCTACTTCCTGTATCTCTGAAAACAAGTGTGCCAGTCACACATTTGATTTGATTCATTTGGGGAACAGGCAGCACTGACCTGCCTTAGAGGAGATAAAAGTAAGTAAGTTCAGCCTTAGAAATATTCAGACCACAAGAGCTTTTAAATCCACATCATTTGTATGGAGCACTACTGTGCTGTCTGCTTCTGCTGGGCCATTGCATATGCAAAAGATGGGGTTAAAGTTAATGAGTCCTCATTCTTTCCATGCCAGGCTTTACAGTGGAGGATATACATTCCATACCTTCTTTAATCTTTGCAACAACAGGTGTGCTGTGATTCGACTATGTGTCCCCTCCAAAACTCATGTTGAAGCTTAATCCTCAATATGGCAGTGTTGAGAGGTGAGACGTTTGGCGGGGGACTGGTTCATGATGGCTCTGCTCTCATGAATAGATTAATCTGTGCATAGATTAATATATTAATGTGTCAATAGATTAATGGGTTATCTTGGGAATGGGACTGGTAGTTTTATAACAAGAAGAAGAGAGACCTGAGCTAATACATGATGCAATGCCCTATGCCACCTCTACAGAATCCCCACCAGCGAGAAGGACTGCACCAGATTTGTACTCTCAACCTTGAGCCTCTCTGTCTCCATAATTTTAAGAAATAAATTTGTTTTCTTTATAAATTACTTAGTTTCAGGTATTCTGTTATAAGTAACAGAAAATTGACTAAGACAATGTGCTATTTTCACTGTTTAATTATAATCAGATTACTGGCTCAGAAAGTTTGAGCAACTTATCCATATTTGCATAATTGTGCAGAATATCAATTCATGTCTGCTTAATTCCAAATTTCATCTTTCTCCCACACATCATGACTTTGGGAGAGGCATGCAGGATAAGTAAGCAACAAAAAATAGTTTCAAATCAGAAAAGATAGCTTTGGGGATTTGATTTTTAAAAAACCTTTATCTATCACCACCTCTGAATAAGGACCATTTAAGTAGCCAATTGTCACCAAAGTAGAGACACAAGTCTCTGAATTTCCATTATTTATTCTAGACTTATCATTGTGGCATATTCCTCTAAAGACTTTGTTCAAAAAATGGTGAACAGGGCCAGGTGCGGTGGCTCATGCCTGTAATCCCAGCACTTTGGGAGGCCAAGGCGGGCAGATCACGAGGTCAGGAATTCAAGACCAGCCTGGCCAACATGGTAAAACCCTGTCTCTACTAAAAATACAAAAATTAGCCGGGTGTGGTGGTGCACGCCTGTAGTCCCAGCTACTTGGTAAGCTGAGGCAGGAGACTCGCTTGAACCCGGCAGGCGGCGGTTGCAGTGAGCCGAGATCATGCCACTGCACTCCAGCCTGGGTGACAGAGCAAGACTCCATCTCAAAAAAAAAAAAAAAAAAAATTGGTGAACAGGACAATGTAAAGCTTGGTCAGTCTAAGCCTCAAGTCTGGGGCACCACCTGGCAGTGCAATAATGAATCTCAGGTAATTTATCTGGGTCAATAGTTCTTAATAAATAAATAACTCCCCTATTCCAGAAAATAGAATCTAACAGGCATAGGCCCCATATAAACATAGCCATTTCCTCTCATTTCACCAGGATCATTAATGCCTTGCCCAATTAAGCACCAAAACACAGGCCCTAAATAATTTAAGCTGGGTAATTGAACAAAATAAATAAATTATATATACTTATGGAAACTTATTTTTAAAAAGAAAATTAAACTGAGGCTTTCTCCATGACCCAGATTTAATTCAACTAAAAGTAACTTAACTTTAAAAGAAAGGCTGAAAAGCTGATCTTTACAGAACTAGAAGTCATTTGTTGTTCTCTTTTCCCATCTTGACAGGTAAGACTGGGGCTTCATGACCCTTGAACAACTGGACAGTTTGCAGAATTTTTAACATTGTTCTTGGAAGTTTTTATGCTGTTGCTGCTAAAGGAGCTTCTTTTTTTTTTTTTTTTTTTTTTTTTTTTTTTTTTGAGACGGAGTCTCACGCTGTTGCCCAGGCTGGAGTGCAGTGGCGCGATCTCGGCTCACTGCAAGCTCCGCCTCCCGGGTTCCCGCCATTCAAGGAGCTTCTTTTTTAAAAAAAAGTTTAGGCATTTCTCTTCAGGAAAAAGTTTAAAAAAAAAAAAAAGCTTGTTCACAACCAAATCCAGTTCAGCACTGTTTGGACATGAATGTTTTATGCTTGGCAAGGTGGAGTGCCCTGGCTGAAAACAAAGGTGTCATTAATTATAGCAAGGCATTATTCCAGTACACTTACGTTTACTTTCCTTG